TTCTGGTGGAATCGACCTTCGAATCTCTTCACCCAACACTTTCACTCGAAATGGAAGTAAGCTCAACAATCCTGATTGAGCTTTCGTCGGCCATGTGACGGACATCGTCAAAGAATAACACCATGTTTAACGATAACTCACCAAAACACAAAGGCTTCAAGCCTACATACTCTTTATAGTCAAATTTGGTCCACTCAGACATCTCATATTTTGACTGAATGTTTTGTCCAAATTTTTACTCAAAAGCTAAGTAAAGTTGCTGCGGATGTCATGCGAGGTGGCTGCAGATGAAGCGTGAAACGGGTGCAATTGTGACCGAACAACTGCACTCTCCTCTAAAACATTTACGCATTTGAACTCGCAATGTTACCGCTTGTGATTGTGTTCCATTGCACGCGCGTTGTGTGAATGTATTGCTCTTGAAATGAGTGTGATGTGAGAGTCAAAACCAGATTCGTGCCTAATCAAGCCTCCTTTTCTTGCCCGGTGAAACTTCTGGTTCAGTCCTTTCGCTAATCCTATCCAATAGCCGCAAGTAATTTACATCTAGCTTCCTACTCTCATTCTTTCTATTCAGGGTATCGGCTGTTTTGTTGATTTCTATCGCCTTCCAAACTTTCGCTTACTAATTGGTATAGCCTCCATATCCAACTAAACATTTGGCATTAGGCCAATCTATCTGGTGTCCTGCGCGAGCCATGTGTCAGGCCAATTCCGATTTTAGGACTCACAGACCATTGCAGGCTGTTTTTTGTTCAGGTAGCCTCTTTTGTATGTGTCTATAGGTCTCTTTCACATAGGTGCGTTAATGATAAGTGCTATTTTCTCTTTATAAATAGTCCTGATTTCTCAACTCAATAATTCGCCTATCTTTTTCGACAGATTACATGATGATAGCATAAGGATTCTTGGAGAGTGGTCTAACTTTTTACCTAGCCCCAAATATTTATTTCCCTCCATCCAATTAGACAATGTTCTAAAATAATCGTTAACCAGGCGAAATACTGAGGTGAGATATCAGGAACATTCATAAAGATAAAATAAGATATTTCTCAGTATTGCCTTCTTTCCGAGAACACTCTGACCTTCTCTCCAGATCGGGCTGTTACAAGATCGTGTGTTCATGTGGTAGCGCCTATGTGGAAGAGAACTGTAGGCCCATATAAAAGAGACTACCTGAACTTAAAACAGCCTGCAAGGGTCTGTGGGTCCAAAAATCGGAATTGCCTGACAAATGGCTCGCACAGGACACCAGATAGATTGCCTAATGCCAAATGCTTAGTTGGATATGGGGGCTATACAAATTAGTAAGCGAAAGTTTGGAAGGCGATATAAATCAACAAAACATCCGATACCCTGAATAGAAGGAATGAGAGTGGGAAGCTAGTTGTAAATTACTTGCTGCAATTTGATAGGATTAGAAAAGGACTGAACCAAAGTATCACCGGGCAAGAGAAGGAGGCTTGATTAGCCACGAATCTGGTTTTGACTCTCACATCACACTCATTTCAAGAGCAATACATTCACACAACGCGCGTGCAATGGAACACAATCACAAGCGGTAACGTTGCGAGTTCAAAGGCGTAAGTGTTTTAGAGGAGAAAGCAGTTGTTCGGTCACAATTACACCCGTTTCACGCTTCATTTGCAGCCACCTCACATGACATCCGCAGCAACTTTACTTAGCTTTTGAGTAAAAATTTGGACAAAACATTCAGTCAAAATATGATATGCCTGAGTGGACCAAATTTGATTATAATGAGTATGTAGGCTTGAAGCCGGCCACCTTTCTTGCCTTTGTGTTTTGGTGAGTTATCGTTAAACATGGTGTTCTTCTCTGACGATATCCGTCACATAGCCGACGGACATGTGACAGCAATTGTGTCATGGGACGCAACACTGGATACACTTTATATGGTCGCCCAGTCATCTTAACAGATTAGCGAAAAGAGGCCAAATAAGCACTAGATCTCATACTAATACATACTAAAGCGATTTCATTTATTATAACTTGCTCCCTCAAAAAGCTTACTCATCCACGAAATGCTCTAGTTTCGACCTCGCTTGGCTCTCACCCCCTTTCGCACATATTCAAGAAGGGACAGGGCTCATAAAGCGACAAAACTCTGTCAGCATTACCAAAATCTCTAGTGTTAATGAGCCACAGCGCATAATTGGTCTTCATGACATGACATATCCGTTTTAAATAGTTTATGAGTCAATTTCATCTATATATGCAGAAAAAATAGGTCTCGAGATTTAGAGTAAATCTAAAAAGGAACCAAGTCAACCTGGGTCGCAAGAGCTGATGGAGAAACTAGGAGATGAATCTTCCATAATGATGATAATAGGTCTCACAATTTGATTGAATTATACTTAGCTTCGCTTCCCAAAAAGCTTTATTATTTCATTAAGGGAAATCCAGCTACCATTCCTTACATCGCTTATAACAATCTAGAGTGATTAAAGTCCTTATTCCACTTCACTTTGCTTATAAATATGCACCAAAAGCTTTAATAGAATTATCCTTCAATTGCAGATAGGAAGACCAAGATAATATGGCCTCAGAGGACTTCAGACAAGGCGCGCCTAACTAGGTCGCCCTGACAACACGACTAAGCTGAGAAAACGAGGTCAAACCACTTCAAAGATGACCTTTTATCTGCTACGCTTTTACATAGAATCGACGTAATTCAGAGCCGAAAACCATTTTATTCATTTACTATTACAAATCATAATCAGAGATGCTCGTTGTCTGGCGATAAACTGGGTGATTTAGGCAGGTCTCATTTTCATACTCTCAAAGACCCTGCCTGGTGCTACATCCGTAGAAACGATACCCATATATTCCGAATGCTTGAAATCATTGGCAGAGTAAATCCTAAAACGTTCAGAGCAATTTGGTCAGCTGTAGTTTGTCTTATTCATTTGTTCATTTGGCATCGCATCGCTAGCTAGATAGATTTACAAACGTTTCGCACGCATCGTCAGTGAGAAAGGCCAGGCCGAGCACCAAACAGCGTTTGGTTACAAATGAAGCCATATGCAGCAAGGATTAGTATGCTTGTTCAACAGCTGGATAGTGAATCGGCTTCACTTGATTTTGATGAGATATGGTTTGGGGCTAAGCAGAAATCTCTCCAATGACTGATTATGATGCAGGCAAAACTTATGAAATATCTGATGGCCAATTTCGATTCCATAAAAACACAATACTAGAATGACAGAGATGGAGAACAAGAGGTCGACCTGCAAACAGATAACAAACTCTTAATCTGACACATACCAGTCAAATATGTTTTTAAGATTCACACTAAGAAAGCTAAATCGAAATACAGTTAAAGGCTTGCCAATTGACAAATATGATCAGGTTTCAAATCCCACTGAGGGTGCTGGGACACGTGTGAGCCTCTAGAAGGTCAAAATCATAGTTCATACATAAGAAAACTTTTCAAGAAGCAATGGCAAGTGAAATTCAATGGTATTATAAGGCATTCTCTTTAGTTAATTGCATGCAGTAAATAAGCATGCATTGGATCTCCAAAGATAACTACATTGACCATCGTTATCATTATGATTTCTTTATAGTTTCTCACTATGCGAGAAAAAAATGGGTTTCTAGGAGTCTCTTGTTTCACAATTGTTGAACTTACTTACTAAAGATTAGCACGTTTTCACCGGAATCGAAAGAGATTACCTCGGAAGTAGCATCATCAGGAATAGTCCAGTAAAGCCAATCGACATCTGATCAAGAGGTATCCGCCGTCGTCTTCTGGTGGGATTGACCTTTGAATTTCTTCACCAAACAATTTCACCCGTAATAAAAGTAAGCTCGACAGCTTTTCACTAACTGATTTCAACCCTCAAACTTGCTTGATGCTATTGCGAATCAGTGACACTCAATCGGAATTAAAAACTTGGGTATTAAGGAATAAAAATATTGAGATAATTGAGGAGAGTTCATTAATAATCTCCATTCAATTTTTAAATTAGATTGCTAGTGAACATAAATAGTTCAAAAATAGGTAAGGATGTATTGATAAGATGCTTTGAATAGAACCTGAAATAATAATTAGACAAATAAATTCAATAAAAACACGCACCATCTGAAAAATGATTACTCTATCAATGTACAAACCTGATCATATACTGGATCATCATAAATACGGTTAAAGAGACCTAGACGATGTCCACCGACACCACCAGACTTAATTCCTGGATTCGAGAGGCTATCCGCGCTTCCACGACGCAAAGAGAGGCCAGGAGAGGTGCCTTCCATGCTCAAAGTTCGTATGGCATTACTAAAGGATGAGGGCGGTGGTGTGATAACACGATGACGTTCAACTCTCGAGCTTTCCGGTCCCCCGACCGCCATTTGGAGAGAAGGAGAGGATGAAGTGGGCGTTGAGGGTGACGAATGTGAAGAGGGCGAAGAGGGCAAAGATAGCGATTTGGGGGACTGCGGTTTTTGTTTCTGAGATGAGTCCGAAAGCTGGTGATGTCGAATCTGAGAGTCAGGGTGGGTATTATTGTTGGGATGAGAAGAGCTGTTATTTTCGACAGTTAAGGAAGTAGCGGGCAGATCATGCTGTTTCAAAGGCCCCGAATTGTTTATGGCAGTTGAAACAGAGTTGGCATTAGGAGCCTCAGAACTCGAGTTTGGAGAGCGTTGGATGCATGGCGAGGGCAAACGACAGGCGAGTGGTGGAGGTAGTTGCGAACCTATAACCAAGGTCTCCGGCCTTGGTGGAAAGAGTGGCATTAGGCGAGCCGCAGCCTCAGTGAGAATATCGATAACGAGGGTGTGGAATTCTAGCGCTGAGAGACGTCCTAGCTTTTGACGGGCTTGGTTGCGAATCGAAGAATAAACAGTATTGGGAGGCAAAAAGTAAAGCATGAGCGAGCGGACTAAAGCCGCGCTGGGCTCCGTGGAACCACTTTTGCTAGAAAAGTGACCGTTTTCTCTGCCGGTTTGTGATGTCTCGTTTGGTTGATCAAGGGTCTCCAGAATGGAATTGGTCAGACGACGCTCAGCTTCGTCGTAAACGTCGATGCAGAGATCCTGCGAAAAGGGAAAAAACAAAACAAAATTGAGATTTCCTTTACTCCATTGCATAAATTCATGGATCGATTCTGAGTGAAAATAGAATTAAAGTATCATCGCAAGCCCAAATGTAGCAAAATATGGTCGGTTAGAGTATGCTTTAATAGTAACACAATGAATAAACGAAGAAATTGCATTTTTTGTCTTGGCCAGCTAAAAAGCTCGATCTTACAGCAATCTGCCTTTGTGAAAAACCAAGAGGGAAGAATTTAAAGGAATTCTCGGGACCACACCAAAAGATATTTTCCTCCATAACAATGTGGTACAGATGAAGAAATTTAATTTTTAATTTGCTCCTATGAAGAAGAAATAAAGGTAAAGAAAAATGGCAATAAGGGCACACTGAAGCTTCAGTAAGGGTTTATTTTAAAGGAGAAAAAATAATATGCAAAGATATAAAACGCTTTTAAAGAGTTATCCAGTAAAGTTGCATAATTAACGAAAGTAGAATTAAGATAGAAATAATACTAGTATATTTATTACCAATGCAGTTCAAAGTTCATTTGCCCTATGATGCAAGTTTTCTGGCTAACGACGAAGTTCTCTCTACTAAAACGGAAACTTTAGCATGAACACAAGAATGTAATGAGACAATCCTAAAAGCACGAACTATTAAAACACTACGTTAATTTCCTATCAGTATGAGAATGCATGCCAAGTGAATAAAACAAAACGACTGTCAATAAAAAATGTGACTCACCTCAAAGGCTAGGCTGTTGAGGTTCTTTAGCCGTCGCCTTGCTTCCGGCATCCAGTCGTTGCCTGATTGAGTGGTGGCAGCAGTAACTCCTGACCCCTGTCCCATGTCGTTTGAAATAACTCTGGTGGATATGAGGAAGTGTCCATTAATCGGATGCTGATATTGGGGCTGAACATCAGAACACCTTTGAGAGACGCCAGCGCCACGCGTCGCCGATCCTGTTGGTTGTGTGCCAAGCAGAGCAGCTTTGTGGTCAGGTACTCGGCGACAAAGAAAATAAGCCAGACTGTCCGTTACATCGTAGTACGCCGAGACGAGTGCCTCTACCAGAGGCGACCAAG